CCGACGCCCGACACCGGATAGCCGACAGCCGACAGCCAACGCCCGACACCCGACAGCCGACGCCCGACAGCCGACGCCCGACAGCCGACGTCCGACAGCCAACGCCCGTCAGCCGACGCCCGACACCCGACGCCCGACACTTGACGCTCGACAGCCGACGCCTGACAGCCAACGGCCGACAGGCAATGCCTGACAGGCAACGCCCAACACGTGACGTTTGACAGGCGACGCTCGACAGTTGACGACCGACATTCGATGCCCGACAGCCGACGACCGACACCCGACGCTCGACAGCCAACGCCCCGACAGCCAACGCCCGACAATCGATGCCCGATTGCCGACGCCCGACAGCCGACGCTCGACAGACGACGCCCGACAGTCGACGTCCTTTACCCCATCCTTGTCTCCTCTCTCCGCCCCGTTCGTCTGAGTCCCATTCGATGCCCATTCCCGTGCATACAATCCCCCCTCCTCCACACACCCCATTCTCTCCCCCCCCCCCCCCCTCCATTCCCTCCTTCCCCCCTGCCTCTCCTTGTTCCACACTGGTACAAGCCATGATCGTGCGTTGGGTGGTGAAGCACGGCAGGCAGTGCGCCACACCCAGTAGTGTTGTCAACCTCCCCACCAACCACCCCACCTTTCCAAGAGTTATGGGGGAGATTGCGTTGCGCGTGCAATGAGCGCTCAGAGCACCAGGGCTTGGCTCTCACTACCCCCCACGTGTAAGTAGTTTTGTGTTGAGTCGACTACGACCAGCTCTCACTAGATTACCATGGCACGGCACGGCACCACGACTACACACAGAGTACCATAGCATGGCTCTCACTACCCCCCCCCCCCCCCCCACCTCCACTTCATGGGCCCTTCAGAGCGTAGGAGCACAGCGCAAGAGAAGTGACACCATGGACACCACGCTTATGATGTACGTCCACCCTCAGCACTGGCATCCACCAGTGGCGTCCAGCTAACTTGCCTGACATCCAGCCAACTTGCCTGCATCCAGCTAACTTGCTTGGCATCCATCTAACTTTCGTGGTGCCCAGCAAACTTGCCTGGCATCCAGCTAACTTTGCTGGCGTCCAGCTAACTTGCCTGGCGTCCAACTAACTTGCCTGGCGTCCAGCTAACTTGCTTGGTATCCAGCTTACTTGCCTTGCATCCAGCTAACTTGCCTGGCGTCTAGCTAACTTGCCTGGTATCCAGCTACTGTAGCTTGCCTGGCGTCCAGCTAACTTGCATGGCATCCAGTTAACTTGCCTGGCGTCCAGCTAACTTGGCTGGTGTCCAGCCAACTTGGTTGGTGTCCAGCTAACTTGGCTGGCGTCCAGCTTACTTGCCTGGCATTCAGCTTTCTTGCCTGGTGTCCAGCTTACTCGGCTGGCGTCCAGCTTACTTGCCTGGCGTTCAGCTTACTTGCCTGACATCCAACAAGTTGAATCAGGAAACTCAATGAAGATTTGACGACGCTATGGCGGTTTCACGGGCAGGAGGTAGAGCACCAACTATAGTCTTAGAAGTACAAACTTAGCAAGAAGAGTCGAGATTGAGATGCTTCCCAGCCTCTACAAACCCTAAGAGCCAAGGTCCAGGTTGGTGGTACACCACCACAAAGTCCCCAACCACGAGGAGACTTGAAACAAACCCAACAAAGGGCTACATCAAGTGAAATGTAACACTACATGTAGTACTGTAGCATTACTATTTTCACTTTTAATATTTATCCATGTCCCTTGGGCTTGAAATCTTGAGCTCTTGGTCTTGGTTCTGCAGGATAAATTCTTCTTGAGTTGATGAGGGCTTACTGCACACATCTGGGACACGATGGACACTTCACATTAGACAAAATAGAAAAAACACATGCGACGCCCAAACGACGACTTGACATGCAAGTAGTGAAAACTCGTTAAAGTCTTGACCGACACAAACCACATGGTGATACACCATTCAAGCACACACACAAGCAATAGATAGCAATTCCATAGACTCACGAGTGATTCCATGCCATGCATGCACACACACGAACAAGGACAACAAGCCGAGTGCGAGCCATAGGGTTGCACCAACAAACCCCCCCTCGGATTGTTGGCCTTAGAATCTGCTCCCCTGAGTTTAGAGCCATCCCAGCAAGCTTGCAACACTTCCAATGCTGCTGCTCAACCAGCCTCTTGGTCATCATATCAGCAGGCTGCGCCGTCGTCTTCACGTAGTGCAACTCCACTTCATCCGCGGTTACCATGCTTCTCACCCAATGCCACTTCACCTTCATGTGCTTAGTATGGCCATAAATTACGGGGTTCTTAGCAAATGCAATAGCACCCTGGCTATTGCAATGGAGTGGGGTAGGTCCTTGCTGCTCCTCCCCCAATTCAACTAGCGAACGCCGCTGCCACACAACCTCTCTTATGGCACGGAAGAGTGCCATGTACTCGGACTCCATCGAGCTCTATGCTTGGTCCACTTGTTTCTTGCTCTCCCAAGCTGTTGGGCCTACACCAATACAACAGATGAAGCCTCCCACACTTGTTATATCCTCAGGTTCTGATGCCCAAGTTGCATCTGAGAAGGCGGTGAGAAAGAGCCTCCCGGGTTCGACTCCATCCGCACCCTTTTGACGCCTTTGTGCCGCTGCGGAGTATTGCAGTCCAACAGTTGCTGTTTGGCCAAGGTACTTGGCCACTCTCTCTCCAGCTGCTACCTGCTATTCATTAGGGCATTGGACAACCCTAGCCAGCTGCCCAGTATCAAATGCTACATCCGGCCTTGTGTGAACGGCCGCATACATGAGGCTGCCCACCAAGGATTGAAAACGACGCCTCTCCTCTTCACTAACGCTTTCCTCCGCTGGTCATTTCACGCACTTGAACCCCGAGGGTAGAGGAGTAGCCACATGACCTTCAATCTTCCCAAAGTTTGCAGCCAAGGCCTCCAAGTACTTCTTTTGATGCACTCGCATCCACCGCTTCTCCACATCTCGCTCAATGTGAAGCCCAAGGTAGTAGTTGACGCCGCCAAGGGTCTTGCACTTGAATTTGTCTTGAAGCTTCAGCATCACCTCCTTCACAAGGTCAGAGGAGGGTGAAAATATGAGGATGGCATCCACATAAACCACCATGAAGCTCCTCTGCTCACCCTCGCCAAGCATGAACAAGGATTGATCGGCTGTTGAGGGAGTGAAGCCGATCGCCTCTACGACTTCCCGCAGTTTGATGTACCATTGCCTAGGGGCTTGCTTAAGGCCATAGAGTGCTTTCTTTATCTTCCACACTCTGCCACTCCCATCATTGTACCTCTCTGGCTGCTCTATGAAAGTCTCTTCCTCCAAAAATATATTGAGGAAGGCCGTTTCTATATCAATTTGCTTCACCACCCATCATTTGATGGCCGCCGCAGTGAAGAGAGTTTGAAGGGTTGTACCCTTCACCACGGGAGCATATACTTCATTGTAATCCTTTTTCTCTTGCATCTGGTACCCCTTGGCTACAATTCTGCTCTTGTAGCGCTCAATGTTGCCATCAGCGTTGGTCTTGCGCTTGAAGAGCCACTTGAAAGAGATCGCCTTCCGCCCAGGAGGTAGGTTAACCAAGTCAAATGTGTCGTTCTCTATGATGCTCCCCATTTTTTCATCTGAGACCTCCTTCTACTCCTTCCAATTGGGGCCCTCCCAAGCGTCCTTGAGATTTGTAAGCTCCCTCGACATTTCCACCAGAGAGAAGAAGGCAAAAGCGCACTCCTCGCTTTCATCTTCAGCATCATTGCCTAGCATGAGAGCCGAACCGGTCAAGGTTGAGCTGGCTGGTCTTCCAAGCCGGTCATAGCTCAATCTATTGGGGGGCTGAGTCTTCCTTTTCTCCCTTCCTTCCTCCTCTGCTGCGAGGAATTGAATGCTCTTATGGCATTGCTTCAAATCTAGTCGGTTCCCGCGAGCACTAGTAGCATGAGGCGGAAGTGACGGTGCACGCTCATCACCTTGCTGCACCTCCTCCTCCTCTTCTCCCCCGTTCATTTGAGGAGATTGCCTTGTGATTGTGCTACAAGGGATGGCTTCTCAGCTCCAAGGGCAGCTCCACATGCTCCAAGCCAGTACTCTTCTCCTCACCAAGCCGCACGCCAATCTTTGCTTGGTTCTCCGCCTTCCACTCCTTGTATGGTAAGTTCTCCATGAACTTGCAATCTCTGCTCACCAAGAACTTCTTGGTAAATGGGTCCCCGAGAAGCCATCCCTTGCTGTTTTGAGCCATGCCCAGGTGCACGGCCCATGTTGCCTTGGCATCAAGCTTGTTGTGCCGAAGTTTCTTAGGTACAAGTGATATGCACATGCACCCAAACACCCGAAGCATGTCCACCTTCGGCTTCCTTCCAATCCACTCCACATAGGGCACCCATTTGTCTTCTCCCACATGAGTCAATGCTCTGTTCTTGGCCACACAAGCGTGCTGCACCACATCCGGCCAAAAGTAATTGGGTAGACCGGCTTCAATGAGAAGTCCCTGAGCCGTCTCCGTGAGTGTCCGATTCGCCCGCTCGGCGATGCCGTTCATTGCAGGAGAGTAGGGCATGGTGAGAGATTGCCTTATGCCCTGATTCTTCAGCCAAGTTGAGAAGTCCTTACTCAGGAACCCTCCCCCATGGTCAGTGCGAATCGCCTTTACAAGCCGGTCTTGTTGCCGCTCCACCATCAGCAACCAATCGGTCTTCACCGTTTCAGCTATGTCACTATTCTTGAGCAGCACATACACGCAGGTCATGCGAGTGTAGACATCCACTATATTGAGAAAGTACTGAGCTCCAGCAACTCCAAGTTTCAAGGGGCCCACCACATCCATCACCACTTTATCAAGTAGTGCCTTCGCCGTTGCCTCCGAGCTATGGAATGGGTAGCGGGTGAACTTGGCTTGCAGGCATGTTGGACAGCCAAGCACCTCATTGGGCTCCCCCTTGATACGTATCCCACTGACCATCTATTGCTAAACTATCTACTGCAAAATGGGCAATGCCACATGCCCCATTTGCCGATGCAAGGTCAGCCAATCAAGCTCTCCCGTGGCGGAAATTGGGTTAGAGAAAGCGGCACTCGCAATTGTGCCCCACAAGCTCTCTCCTTTATCCTTCGCCGCTGCTGCTTTGTTGATATTAGGCTTCTCCTCCTGATTTCTACCATCTTTGGCTGCTGCACCACTCTCCTTGGGTTCACACGCCTTGCTGGTCCCTCTAAGATTGCACTCCTTCGAGTCACTCTTGGTGTCACTTTGTTTTCCGTTATCACCGCCTCCAACCGCTTCAGTTTTGGTGCTGACGCTTGCTGCCACTTGCCTCTCCTTAGGCATGGGGACCACTGAGATTTGCCACATCTCATTGTAGATGTCCCTGTCCTTATGAAAGTCCCAAAGCTTCCTCTCACCAAGCCTCACGGTATAAGTTATGGATCCCTTGGAAGATGCGTCCATGCCGGCCTTTTGCAAACGCCGCACGAAGATCAGGTTGGTTGCAAGGTTGGGCACCCAAAGCACATTCTTGAGGCCCGCCGTCTTCCCATCAGCACCCTTGAACATGGCCTTGCCCATGCCTTTCACCTCTCCTCGCTGCCCCAAAGCCGATGTAACATGCTTGACCGGCGACAGTTCAAGTTCGGTGAGCAAGTCCGCACGAGGTGTCATGCTATAGGTGGCGTCGCTATCGATCAACCAAAAGTCAAGAGGGTGACCTTTCCCACAATAGATGGCTCCTCAAAGAATTCCACACCTTCTGCTCCAGCTGCCGCTTCCGTCGAGATAAAGAAGTCCGTCTCGTAGTCTCCACCTTTCATGTTTGCTGCTTCGCTTCCACGACCACCACGGCCTCCACGAACTCTGCCTCTTCCTCCCCTTTCTCCTCTGCCCTCTTGGTCTTGAGAAGGGTCCATCCATCAGGCAATCTGAAGCAATCTCTCCACATGTGGCCGGTCTTGTGGCAAAAGCGGCATTCGCCATCAAATCTACCGTACCCACGTCCGTAGCCATTATTGTTGTTGTTGCTGCCATACCCTCCATTACCATGGCCTCCATTGAAGTAACTGCTACCAAATCTACCTCCTCGCCCTCTGCCCCTACCACTGCCGTGCCCATGGCCCATGCTTGCAACTCCGGTACCATCGGGACCCGCCAATTCGCGACGGCGGAAATATTTTTGCAAGATTTCCCGCTTCACATCTTCGAGCGAGAGGCGGGGCAGATCTCGATTTAGGTTGATGATGAGCGAGGACCATGAGTCCGGAAGTAATGGCCAGCAACTTGGTCTTCTTTTAAAGGTCACTGTAGTTCAGGTCAGCTCCTTCAAGCCGTGACAACAAGTCGAAGAATTTCTGCACTTCTTCCTCCGCCGGTTCGCCTTCGTCAATTCGAAGTGCCGTCATTTGCCGCTCCAAAACCACAGCCACCGCCGCTGTTGCAGGAGCGTGTACACCCTTGAGAGCAGCCCATGCCTTTGGTCCCTTTGCTGGTTCACACTGAAAAGGCTTGATGTGACGGATTTGGCTGCTCCCCAATGCTTGCCCAAGTAGAAGATACAGCGACGGAAGAAATTGTCCACATCTCAGCCTCTCTAGGCGAATAATCGTGTGTAGTGTTTAGAGATGCAGCTTATTAGCTGCCAGGTTTTAAGGAAGAGTTAGACATATGCCTATACACGAATGTCACGTGGGAACTAGCCCTGAAAGTACAGTAGAATGTTCCTGGGCAAAATCCATACACACACAAGTACACTCGGACAGTTTGTGCCATGTTCAAAGTATGCAAAAGACTCCCAAAAATCAGTACCTAGTCCATTTTTCCTTAGCCCTAACCACCGCCTTCACCCTCCTAGGCACACTATCAATGAGCCCCCTGCACACATCAGCATCTATCCCCTCCCAGATCTCTTGAATCCGCTCCCAAGTTTGGAGCATTCCTGAGGGGGGGTGCTCATACTTGGACAGCTCGCGTTTGAGATGGGCCCACAAGTGCTCGATGGGGTTGAGATCTGGGGATGAAGAGGGCCACAGCAGGACTGAATATTCCTCCTCTGACAACCACTCCTGCACAAGGCGGGACTTGTGCTTGGGGTCGTTGTCATGCTGGAAAATGACATCAGAGGTAGTAAGGTCATAAAACTCAATGGTTTGTGCAAGCTCATCCTGCAAGATGCTTCGATACAGCTGCCCGTCCATACGACCGTCGATTTTACACATGTATCCAGGGCCATCGTACGTCATACACCCCCATATCATGACTGACCCACCCCCATGCTTTACTGTTTGTTTTATGTGTTGCCCTTGAAGAGCCGCCCCGTCGCGAATCCATGCATATGTCCGGCGGTCACTACAGAAACGGTTGATCTTGGTCTCATCAGACCAGACCACCCGCTTCCAGTCGTCCAAGGTCCAGTCAACGTGGGCCTTGGCGAAATCCAGTCTGTCTCTGATGTTACGCGCGGAGAGACGTGGCTTCTTCGGCTGTTGGACGGCGACTAGGCCAGGCAGTTTGAGGGCGTTGCGGACTGCTCTGGGGCAGATCTTAATGCCGTGGTCTGTTTCCAGTAGCTTTGCGGCTTCTACGCTAGTCTTCACCTCGCCTGAAGTCACAGCGCAAACAAGGATGCGCCTGTCACGTACTGAGGGCAGGCGCGGTCGGCCAGACCTCGGGACTGTTGGCCTAACCGCTAGGCTGCTGGTGCGCTGAGAGGCCTCTTGAGCGTATTTCTGAACTGTGCTCTTCCCTATCCCTAGCATTCTAGCGATCTGACGGAAGCTATGACTGTGTCGAAGCAAGGTCGCGATCCTATCTTTCTGGCGCAAAGAAAGAGGCCGCATCATTGCTATGAGTCTGGCGGGGTTCACGTTATGCCGTCGATAAAGACTAGGAGGTTAGGTTTGCGAGATCTCGAAATGCCGTGAGAAAATAGACCTAGACTCGAATCGGGAGCTAATTGTCCGCATCGAGTCTCGCTAGCAAAGTGGTGTACTCACTATAAGCAGTTCGATAAAACATACAATACCATGCATCATAAGGATGCTTCACTCCTAAGTCACATGGTACAAAAGGCACTTGGGGATAAATGTACACGATACATGCTTAAAATACAGAATCTTTAGACTAGTATACCTTTTCTAGCCCAATTAATTCCGTCGCTCTAGCCTTGTGCGCTCTTCCGCACCCACGGGCTCTTCTCTGGGTCGTTCTCGGGGCGCTTCTCCATTCCTTCCATCACCTCCAGCAGATCATAGTGGTCAAAGATGTTCTCCATCTTGAAGGACCACTCAGCAAAGTTGTCACCGTTGAACTTGTCAAGGCCAAACACTCTAGGCTCATCCCTAGAGGGGCCAAGGCTAGGTTGCACAGGAGCAACAAGTTGATCTTGGTGTTGGCCTTGTACTTGGGCATCTTCTCTGCCTCCAAAACCTCTGCCACCCCCTTCCTCAGATCTAGGCATGGTCTAAATGGCTCCAAGGGGCTCTGATACCACTTGTTATAACCACTTAGATGTGCCAAAAATGAGAAATAGAGTGCACAGCTGGATTTCCGTCAGTCAGCTTCAAATATTGATACCGATCTGATTTGTGACTCAAACGGGGATCTGTAAGTTGGATCGGGAGCGCTTTGCTGTCGCCTATCAGAGCAAGTTGAATCAGGAAATTCAATGAAGATTTGACAACGCTATGGCGGTTTGAGAGGCAGGAGGTAGAGCAGCAACTATAGTCTTAGGCCGCGTTCTGAAGTTTGGCCGAACTTTGAAGTTTAGCCACCCGACTCGCCACGTCGGAATTGCACATTGCAATGTTTGGCGGGGCGATTTGAACTTTGGCCAACCAACCCCTACCACACCTTGCCAGCCAGAATTCGTGCGACAGGGGTCCACGAACAGCTGCGACCGAGGGCGAAACCTCGTTTCTGCATACTTGGCCGGCCACGCCAAAGAAATGTGACGTGGACCAAGCCACAAAAGCAGCACCATCCTGCCCGGCGCACGAACAGCCATCAAACTGCGAATGCTCCACCCTTCCTCACCAAAGCCTTCATCAACACCCCAACCAGAAGGAGATGGCCTTAAAACCCGCGTGTTAATTTCCTCGAGTTTCGTAACTTTGGTTCGGAGATCCCTAGAAGTGCTGCCTGACAGCCAATCCTGTCTTTCCACCCAACCAACCTACCTGCCGTTGAATTAATTGGCACACTGGTTCCTCTGCAACCCAGATTGTGGTCAGTCGCATTTTGTTATGAGGATCGCCTATCGATTTGATTTGGCGCGATGGGGTTCCGTTCGCAAAATGTCGAGGGCAGGTCGCCTAGTTTCTCGCATTGGGGTTGGCCAAAGTTCACCTACCACAACTTTTGCCAACCAAAACCTCAAACTTTGGCCAAAATTTTGCTGACGTGGCAAGGCGGACGGCCAAACTTCAACTCGGCCAAACTTCAGAACGCGATCTTAGAAGTACAAAATTAGCTAGAAGAATCGAGATTGAGATGGTTCCAAGCCTCTAATAACCCAAAGAGCCAAGGTCCAGGTTGTTGGTACACCACCACATAGTCCCCAACAATAAGGAGACTCGAAACAAACCGGACAAGGGGCTACACCAAGTGAAATGTAATACTACATGAAGTAGCATTACTATTTTCACTTTTAATATTTATCCACATCTCTTGGGCTTGAAACCTTGAGCTCTTGGTCTTGGTTCTGCAAGATAAATTCTTCTTGAGTTGATGAGGGCTTGCTGCACACACCTGCGACGCGATGGACACTTCACACTCGACAAAACAGAAAAAACACATGCGATGAGCAAAAGACGACTTGACATGCGAGTAGTGAAAACTCGCTGAAGTCTTGACTGAAACAAACCACATTGTGATACACCATTCACGCACACACACAAGCAATCAAAGCAATGCCATAGACTCACAAGTAATTCCATGCCATGCATGCACACACACGAACAAGGACGACAAGCCGAGTGCGAGCCATAGGGTTGCACCAACAGAAGATGGAAGATGGACGATGGACGATGGATGATCGAACATGGAAGATAGATGGAAGATGGAAGATGGAAAATGGAAAATGGAAGATGGAAGATGGAAGATGGAAGACGGAAGACGGATGATGGATGATGGATGATGGAAGATGGATGATGGAAGATGGAAGATGGAAGATGGGAGATGGGAGATGGAAGATTGAAGATGGAAGATGGAAGATGGAAGATGGAAGATGGGAGGTGGAAGGTGGAAGATGGGAGGTGGAAGATGGGAGATGGGAGATGGGAGTTGGAAGATGGGAAATGGGAGATGGGAGATGGGAGATGGGAGATGGGAGATGGGAGATGGGAGATGGGAGGAGGAAGATAAATGGAAGTTGGAAGATGGATGGAAGATGGAAGATGGATGGAAGATGGAAGATAGATGGAAGATGGAAAATAGGAGGATGGAAGATAGAGGATGGAAGATAGATGGAGGATGGAGGATGGAAGATAGATGGAGGATGGAGGATGGAGGATGAGGGAGGAGTAGGGAGGAGGAGGGGGGAGGAGGGAGGGAGGAGGAGGGAGGAGGAGGGAGGGAGGAGGAGGGAGAGAGGAGGAGGGAGGGAGGAGGAGGGAGGAGGAGGAGGGAGGGAGGAGGAGGAAGGGAGGAGGAGGGAGGGAGGAGGAGGGATGAGGAGGAAGGAGGAGGGAGGAGGAGGGAGGAGGAGGGAGGAGGAGTGAGGAGGAGGGAGGAGGGAGGAGGAGGGAGGAGGAGGGAGGGAGGAGGAGGGAGAGAGGAGGAGGGAGGGAGGAGGAGGGAGGGAGGAGGAGGGAGGGAGGAGGAGGAAGGGAGGAGGAGGGAGGGAGGAGGAGGGATGAGGAGGAAGGAGGAGGGAGGAGGGAGGAGGAGGGAGGAGGAGGGAGGAGGAGTGAGGAGGAGGGAGGAGGGAGGAGGAGGGAGGAGGAGGGAGGGAGGAGGAGGGAGGAAGGAGGAGGGAGGGTGGAGGAGGGAGGGAGGAGGAGGGAGGGAGGAGGAGGGAGGGAGGAGGAGGGAGGAAGGAGGAGGAAGGGAGGAGGAGGGAGGGAGGAGGAGGGAGGAGGAGGGAGGAGGAGGGAGGAGGAGGGAGGAGGAGGGGGAGGGAGGAGGAGGGAGGAGGAGGGAGGAGGAGGGAGGAGGGAGGAGGGAGAAGGATGGAAGATAGATGGAAGATAGGATAGACGAAAGATAAGATAGACGGAAGATAAGATAGACGGAAGATAAGATAGAAGGAAGATAAGATAGACGGAAGATAAGATAGACGGAAGATAAGATAGAAGGAAGATAAGATAGACGGAAGATAAGATAGACGAAAGATAAGATAGACGGAAGATAAGATAGACGGAAGATAAGATAGATGGAAGATAAGATAGACGGAAGATAAGATAGACGGTAGATAAGATAGACGAAAGATAAGATAGACAGAAGATAAGATAGACGGAAGATAAGATAGATAGACGGAAGATAAGATAGATAGATGGAAGATAAGATAGATACATAGATGGAAGATATGATAAGAAAGATGGAAGATAAGATAGATGGACGATAAGATAGATAGAAGATAAGGTAGATGGACGATAAGATAGATGGATAATATATGCATGATAGATGCATGGAAGATGGATGGAAGATAGATGGATGATAGATGGCAGAATGATGGAAGATAGATAAAAGATAGATGGAAAATAGATGGAAGATAGATAGGTGGAAGATAGATGGAAGATAGATGGAAGATAGATGGAGGATAGATGGAATATAGGTGGAAGATAGATGGAAGATAGATGGAAGATGGATGGAAGGTAGATGGAAGATAGATGGAAAATGGAAGATAGATGGAAGATAGATGAAGGTAGGTGGAAGATGGAAGATGGAAGTTGGAAAATGGAAGGTGGAAGGTTGAAGGTGTAAGGTGGAAGGTGGAAGGTGGAGGGTGGAAGGTGGAAGGTAGAAGGTGGAAGGTAGAAGGTGGAAGGTGGAAGGTGGAAGGTGGAAGATAGAAGATGGAAAAAGATAGAAGATAGAAGATGGAAGATGGAAGAAGATGGAAGATGGAAGATGGAAGATGGAAGATGGAAGGTGGAAGATGGAAGATGGCAGAAGGAAGAAGATGGAAGAAGATGGAAGATGGAAGATGGAAGATGGAAGATGGAAGATGGAAGATGGAAGATAGAAGATGGAAGAAGATGGAAGATGGAAGATAGAAGATGGAAGAAGATGGAAGATGGAAGATGATGGATGATGGAGGATGGAGGATGGAGGATGGAAGATGGAAGATGGAATATGGAAAATGGAAGATGGACGATGGGTGATGGAAGATGGGAGATGGAAGATGGAAAATGGAAGTTGGAAGATGGAAGTTGGAAGATGGGCTTGGAAACCCCAGGGTAAGGTAGGCGAGGGGCAGGGGGGGAGGGGGATGTTGAAACCCCCAGGCTAGGGCGTGCAAGGGAAGAGGAACCCCCCTCTTCTGCCATCTGTTTGTCTTGAACTGGGGGTTTCAATCCCCCTCTCTTGCCTTTCACTTGCCTACCTTGAGTTTTTTCATCCCATTCCCCTATCTTGTCCTCTCCTTTCCTGTGAGGGTTTCAAACCCCCTCCTGTGCCCCTTCCTCCCCATACCCCCTCCTCTACTCCTCACCTATCTTAGGGAAGTGGGAGAGAGGGCCTGAAAATCTCAGGATAAGTAAGAGTAAGAGGGAGGGGAGAAAGGGGGCCTGAAACCCCCTTGGGTAGGTGGAGTCAGAGGAACGAGAGAAAGAGGGCATGAAACCCCCGTGGGTAGGGGGAATAAGAGGGAAAGGAGAAAGGGGGCATGAAACCCCCATGCATAGGTGGATTAAAAGGGAAGAGAGAAAGGGGGCATGAAACCCCCGTGCGCAGGTGGAGTAAGAGGGAAGAGAGAAAGTGGGCATGAAACCCCTGTGGGTAGGTGGAGTAAGAGGGAAAAGAGAAAGGGGGCATGAAACACCTTTGGGATTACCCCCAGCTTAGTGCGAGCAAGGTGTAGGGGAACCCCCTTCCTCTGCCCTTGGTTCGCCTTAAGCTTGGAGTTTCACCCCCCTCCCGTGTCGTCTCGCTCGACACATTCGACCTGAACTGAGACCATGGGGGTCACACTCGATTTATCGGTGTGAGACTGGTGAGGAGGGTTAATATCACAACTATACAGGGGAGACTGGGGAGGGGAGTTCAAAAGACCCCAACTTTACAGACTAGTTAGGTGAGGGGGGTGCAGAAGACCCCAATGACAGTGGTGTGACAGCTGATGGGTGTAAAGAGTGAAGGTTTTTTGTCTGACCCTGAGTACATAATGATGAATCAGGAAAGGGGGTTCAGCTCAGACACACACCACGTATGGCGGATTGACTCTGACTGGGGTTGAGACTGCTCAAGATAAGTGGCTGAGGGGCGTCGAAAAGCATGGCACGCAGGCGAATAGTTCCAAAGTACGAGCAAGTGGCTTTGGCAATGCTGTAATAGACGTCTAGATGATAAGGATAGAGATCGAGATAGGGTGAATTGGCGTAGAGGGTATAGGGATAGGGGGGATAGGGATAGGGGTTGGGAGGATAGGGATAGGGAGGATAAGGATAGAGGGTATAGGGATAAATGGGGATAAGGATAGAGGGCATAGGGATGTGGGGGATAGGGAAGATAAGGATAGAGGCGATACGGATAGGGGGGATAAGGATAGAGAGGATAGGGATAGAGGGGTTAGGTGTAGGGGGTATAGGGGAGGGGTTTATGATATTGGGGATCATTGTTTCAGTCAACATCTTTCTCATTCTCCAACATCTCTGACCGCACTGCAACTGCATCCCTCCCTCCAGTCGCCCAATCCCGTCCCATGCGCATCCCCCATGTGACTCCGTTTTAGGAGACACCTGAACCAGATGATCCTGTGCACAGATGGAGCATATGCCCCTGCTCCTGGCCACAGCACATTCGAAGTCTTGTGTTATTTGGGTGGGGTCTTTTAAACATCGGGATTGATTTGTGATCATGTACGATTTAACCCGTGCACACATGCACGCCAACCTACTACCTCGATGGCTAACGTCGTAACCCCATCGTCTCTCTAGCATCCCCATAATTAGTAGTCTCAAAACCCAGGAACTGAGCTCTTATCTTGCTAAACCATCCCTTTTCAATTTAATCATACGTGTATTTTTTACACCTGTGTCCCTGTCACTATGTCCATGTCGCATGTTGTCCATCCCCTATTTTCCATTTCTGTTTGCCCATTATTTATATTTCATAGCATTTATAGATGATGAAATTACACATCTCTTTATGCCTCTTCTTTTGTTTTTATTGTTGGGGGTTTGGTTGGTACAGTTTGCCAGCCCAATCGCCGGCTAGTATCTATAGTCACAGCCAGCGATTGGACAGCTATTCCATGTGGCGGATAACTACTCGGTGATGCAAAACTTTGTTCACGTGATTTTTCGACCACTCTAAATCTCTTTTGGCGCGTGTGCCAGCACGATGGGGTTGTCCGCCAGCTGAGACGTGCCCATGCTCGGGGAGTTGGATGGAATGACGACGGAAGTCGGGAAAAAAGGGTGTGTTCCGTCGTGTAGTTGGCTCGTGAGTTCTTATGTCTCTATTTGGCAAATTCGGGGATGGAATTATATGTGATGCGGGGCAAAAAGGCAATTCCCCGGCCAATTTCTGTTCACCACCGGCCTGGGCGATATTTCTTGGAAGTCGTGTTTTCCACGTCAGAGAATCGCCACGATCTTGTTTCTTTCCTCAAACCCAGGGATTCGTCGGGATTGCCCAGTTACAGTGTCTCCCGCCATCATGTGAAATTTGAGTGACTCAGCATGACGCTGGCTATTCGACCTGGTTGATGCTTCCTTACGAGCGCTCACCTGTTATTGGCTGATGGTGCCATGCCTCGTCATGCCCGCTGCCCAACAGAGGGGTCGAAATCACAGCAGTTCCGTTTGCGCCGAGTTCCAACGAAATTGCTCCGCTCCCCCCAACCGCCACAATCGCAGCCGTCAGCGCACACCGCAGTTTCTCCTTTGTGCCCGAGATGGCTTCCGCAAACCAGAAACAGTTACCCCACCCACCCCCCCCCCCCCCTCCATACAACCATCCCGCACCGCAGTCTTTCCACCAATCTGATCGCAAATTTCCCTTTTCCTCCCCCTCCCCATAACCTGCTCATTCTGCCTCATCTCGCCGCGCCACATCACAAACGTTGCATCCACCCTACAATACCTGCCTTGTGCCTCTCATTTTCAGATTCGCTTGTTCCGTCCATTGTTTTGCCACTCGCTTCCCAGCCTCGGCTCGACCTGAGGCGAAGAGGTATCTATACTACATCTGCTTGCCGCGTTTCTGTTCCTGTTCTTCTTTAAAAAAGCAGTGGTGTTATTGCATCAACACGCGCGAGTCTTCTACCTAAATTTCTTCGTCGTGCACGTCTTTCTCCTCGTCGCTTCTCCCCATGGCTTCCCTTGTGCGACCACCGCTTGCTTCGACCGCGTCTTCCGCCAGCGTCTCTCAGCATCTCGTCGTGTCCGGCAAGTGCTCCTGCGTCCTCCCCTCCGCGGTTCTATGCTCGCGCCCGTTCCCTGACACGTCAGCCGCGTGCGCCGACGGCAGAAGATCCTCGAGCATCGTCCTCAGCAGCCGCAGCGCGTCATCCGCGCATGTCTCCGCCGCGAATCTCCGCTCGAAGCGCCAGTCCTTCTTCGGCATGGCGCTCCACGTGCGGAGCAGCGTGTCCACCGGCGGCGGCAGCGGCGCGCAACGAGGAGTGCGGGGCGTGGAGATGAGCTTCTCGCCGCACGGCATGGGGGCCAACGGGCAGCAGTTCGACGACGAGGAGTACCTCGAGGCGCACGTCATGGATGCCGGTGAGTTGGCGCCAGAGCCAGGTAAACATGCTGATTTCAACGAAGTTTGCTCGTCGTGTGACGTTGCCTTGCGAATTCGTGAGAAGTGGGTACGGGTCGTTTGAGGACGGCCCAACTTGTCTGGAGCGGGCCGGTCAACGAAAGACGCGTAAGGAACCCCTGCTGCGTAAGATGCGTTACGTTGCATGCACGTCCCATCGGCTCCCCTCTTCCGTATGATATCCCCCCGGCTATTCCCCCGGCTTCTTCTGATCTGCTTCATTCACCAATTCAACTCCAAAGCTCACCTTCTCTCCGCTCCTTCCCGCCCCGGCAGTGCGCATGGCGCCGCAGCAGGAGCGGCTGTACATGACGATGGCGGACGGCACGGAGATCGAGGTGGAGCACGTGAACCCCAGCGCGGGCCGCCTGCTGTACCCGCACAGCACGCCCGCCATATTCGTCAAGGTCGCTGGCAACTCCGGCCTCCTGCTGCCCATCGTCGTCGGTGAGTTGGCGCTGCGCTGCTACCCCTCGCCACGCCCCGCCAAGCCTCGCGAAGCCCTGCGACTGCTTATGGCGCGGCGAATTTCTCTCGTCGCGTCGTCTGTCGTTGCGCTGTCGCACGCGCATCTCTCGCGTACTACTCACTCGTTGCGCCGTGCTCTGCCTGTGCTGTGCTGTGCAGGCGACCTCGCGGTGGGCTTTTTGATGAAGGGGTTCCGCAAGGAGCCCGGGGTGAGCCGCCTGAACCTTCTTCCTCCTGCTCTTGTTTCTCACGATAATTTCGTTTCTTGTTCCCGTATTCCCTATCCCCTTGGACAGGTGCATTTTGAGACTCAAAATGCACTTGTTCCCATATTCCCTATCTCCTGGACCCTCTCTTGACCACTCACATCCATTCCAAACGCTTTGGGTCGTGCTATTCCCTTACGAACCCACACGCCCTTACTCCCAGTGCCTGCTCTGCTCTCTCCTCTCCTAAATGTTTTTTTTTTTTTTTTTTTTGAATTATCAAAAATTCCTGTTTCGCTCTGTTTCCCGTGCGTGCGCGTGGCGCGGCAGGCGCGGCCGTGCCACTACGACGTGATGCGCGACATAGTGGAGTCGCTCAACTACGAGGTGCGCACCGTGAAGATCACGCAGCGCGTCATGGACACATATCTCGCGCGCATCTACCTCGCGCACCCCGACTCGCCGCACTGCGCCGCCAGCATCGACGCGCGCCCGTCCGACGCCATCAACCTCGCCATCCGCGCGCAGGTACTACTTGCGCCCTGCCGCGCTGCTGCCCTTCCGCACTTCCGCACTTCCGCGCTGCCGCACTCCGCTCCCGCGGCTCCACGTTTCCTGTCTCCGCCCTCCCGCTTCCGCTTCTGCCGTCGTCCAATGCTTGAAATCTCGCTTTATTCGCCCTACCTGCCACGGCAGATGGTGATGCAGCCGTTCTCAACGCCTCAACTTCCCCGCTTCCTCACTTTCGGCTCCCCCCGTCCCCGTCCCCATCACCGTCCCTGTCTCCGATATCGTCTCCGTTTCCGCCCCCGTCCCTGGTGTGCGGCGGCAGGTGCCGATCTTTGTGTCGAAGAGCATCGTGCGCAGCGACGCCGTGCGCGTGGTGGACGAGGCGCACCGCATCGTGTCGCCCGGCCAGCCCTACTCCGCCGCCGCGCACCACGTCGTGCGCGCCTCGCCCGCCGCCACTGACAGGTGAGCTGAGCACCGGGGAGGGGAGAGAATGGGTATTGAGGGAAAGGGGATAGGAGAGCACGGGAGAGTGGTAGGGAGGGAGCTGGGGTTGCGGGCCGGCTTTGAGGGTTTAGCATGGTGATATGGTGTAGGTACAGGGGAGCAATAGACTCTTCGGTGTGGTCGTGAGAAGAGGCGGGGAGTGTGTGTGTGTTGGGCATTTGTCATATCGAAGCCATGAATCTCGCCCCACCTTGCGTCTTCTGTCCAGCCTCGTGGCCCTCTCATTCGTTTTCGTTTCTTGCCCTTGCTGCGAATCCTTCTTCCCCCCCACCCCCGTGCGTGCGTGCGCCTCTCTCTCTCGCTCTCTCTCCCTCCCTCCCATCTGCGCGTATGGCAGTGGGGGGGCGACGGACCTGCTGACGGAGGAGATGGCGCTCACCAAGAGCCTCATGGCGGCCGTGCAGGAGGAGAGATACGGCGACGCAGGTACGCCTCTCCTCTTCGCCCCATGCTGCCGTCAGCTTGTTTTAAACGCTGGCTGTCGCTTGCCTTGGCGCCCAGCTGCCCCTGGCTATGGCGTCCCTTGTCAACGAAACCTGCCTGTTGAGTCTAAAGCAGCTCCCCTGTTCATCACAGTCAATGAAATCCACTGTTGCTTGTCCTTCAACGTGTTGCTGTCGTTGTTGTCAAGCTATCACCGCTGGTCAGACTTGTGAATTCTCCTTGAATGTAATCACAAGAAACCATATCATACAGTCGCTTGTCCTCGCTGTTTTCTCACTCCTACCTGTACCTGCTCCCTGCTTTCCGCCCTCCCCTGCACTCCCCAAGCGTCCCTGCGGGACAAGCTGAATCAGCTGCGCAACCGCAACCCCAGGCAGCTCAACAACAGGGTAAGGCCACGTGGGGTAGGTAGGCAGTGCAGCACGGTAGAACCTTTTCATTCCAATGGGAGAAAGATGGGCCCGGGTAGGGTTCGGGAGTGGAGAGGATGTGAGGTGGGATGGGCGGCGGCAGTGGACGCTCAGCTTCTAAACATCATGTTCCAAAGGCGGCTCTACTGTCTCCCCCCTGCTCCACTTATCGCCGACTTTCCATCTGGCTCACCCGTGCCCCTGTTGCTTCATTTAACCAACTGTGCGTTTGCCTACCCGTGTCTCGCATGTCCTGTCCCCCGTCCATCTGCAACACATGCAGTTCTGAGTGAATGTGGAAGTCAGAGTGGCGAACAGCTGCCTCGCCCCCAGACTTCCGTTACCTGCTGTGCAGCCACACAGCTGCACTGCTCTTGGCTGCACCACCTTCCACCTATGTACCTAGTTGCACATACTGTTTGCTCGCACCCAGCCATCATCAGTTGCTTCTCCCACTGCTGCTGCTGCACATACGCCCTCACACCACCACGTGTTCGTGGCCCTACCACTTCTCCCGCATTCCCTGTGGAGTGCTGGGGAATTGGAGCTACTAAGGAGCTGCTGCTGCTTCTACTGTGCTTCATTCTGCCTGATTGCTGTCTGGCCTCGCCTCTGTTTTCCTCCCTGCTTTCCACTGATGCCCATATTTCTGTGGCTGGGGCTGGGGCTGTGGACCGCCCGAGGCTTACGGCAGCTGCTGCGTGTGTAAAGGTGGTTCCATCTGCTTGCGGCAGCTTTCTGCCTGCTTGCCACGCCACGCCACCCATCCCATTCCTTGATCATTCCCATGGCTGCATGCCTCCCTGACTGGCTGATTGTAAATAGCTGTCTTGCTCTCCTTTGTAACTCTACGGGATGTTTGTGCAGTTAATGATGGTTACTTTTTGTTTTTTATTGAAATGCTGGCTTCACTAAATGACCTCGTACCATGGTTGGTATAAGCCAACAACACCCATAGGCTGGTTTTCTCAGAAACTGAAAGAAAATGACTAGAGAGAGAGAGTACAGGAATATATCTAAGTGTTGTACCCTCTAAGAGATGACCCTATACAGTCTATGCAAAGTATAAGAGGTACACATGTTTGACACACCCCCTAGACTGCATAGGGGCAGGTCCTGAACAAGCAGCTCAGAGCGGCACTACTAGTCCAGCCACTGAGGCAAGGGTCTAAAGACCAGTCAGAAGGAGTACAGGCAAGACAAGAACAAGGCCAGGGCGACACTACTAGTCCAACCACTGGTAGAGGACACAAGTCCAGTCTCAGTACATATAGATATATATAGGGCAGTACAAAGTCAAGGTCCTAGCAAGTGAGGGGCTACAGGAACTAGACCGAGCTGTACACAGTGCCGCTGATGATCTTTAGGCGCAAGCGCCTTCGTAAAGATATGAGCTGTGTTGGCACCGGAGGCCAGGTGTACTACGCGAGCCTGGCGGCGCTGCTGTAACTCGCGCAGGAGGAAGTACCGCAGCTGAATATGCTTTGCTCTGCCCTCGAGTCGAGGCTCCTGACACAGGAGGATCATGGCCCTGTTGTCAGCGTACAGGACCGGGGCAGAGCTAGGCCGCTCACCTAAGTCAGTGAGTAAGAAAGTCAGCCAGCGGAGCTCCTGTGCCGCCATGGCACCAGCGTAGATCTCGGCCTCACAGCTGGACTGGGCAACAGACGAGGAGCGGGTAGCTCTCCACGAGACGGCACCTGAACCAAGGCTGAAGCAGTAGCCCTCGGAAGACCTGTGTGTCTCAGCGTCGTCCGCCCACGAAGCGTCTGTGTGTCCAGTAAGGACCACTGGGCTGCGTCCTCCTAGCACTAACCCCATGCCCGATGTACTTGCAAGATAATGCAAAACCCTCTTAGCGGCAGACCAGTGCTGCGGTCGGTGTCTGCTAGTGGCCACAAAGCGAGCCAGGATGCTGAGAGGGTATGCGAGATCAAGGCGAGTGCAAGTCATCAGGTACATGAGGCAACCCACCAGCTCTGCGTAAGGACCACTAGGCTCTACTGATTCCTCCGGAACTGGAGCGGAGAGTCTGTGGTCTACAGGCAGAGGGGTGGGCTGTGCAGAGGAGAACCGAAGGCCGAACCTCTGAAGGACCTGGCGCACCAAGTGTGACTGAGTCAGGGTAATGGTGCGCGCTGCTCTGTCCCTGGAGATCTGCAGGCCAAGGTAACGGCGCAGTTCTCCAAGGTCAGTGCAAGTGTATCTCTTCAGCAGCTCTGCCTTCACGGAGGCCAGTGCATCCTTGTCTGCTGTGGCAAAGACCAGATCGTCCACGTACACAAGGATGTAGAACGGAGTCTGGCCAGCACGAACGAAGGGAAGCCTGCCGCAGGCCGTAGACGGGACGCCGCAGGAGCCACTGGGTCCCAGGAGGGAAGGTGCCAGTGAAGCCCTGAGGGTGGCGCAGGTAGACCTGCTCGTGCAAGCTGCCCTGAAGGAAGGCAGTGGAGAAGTCGAGGGAGTGAAGCTCGTAGTCACGCTGAGCTGCTAAGTGTAGCAGAACCCGAAGAGTAGTCATGTTCGGGGTCGGAGCGAAGGTCTGGAAGAAGTCCACCCCCTCACGCTGACTGAAACCTCTAGCCACGTAGCGCGCCTTGAATACAGGCAGCTCTCCAGGAGGGCGCTTCACCTTGAAGAGCCAGCGGCCATCGACTACGTTCACCCCAGGTGGGGGAACTGCGTCGACATAGGTTCCGGTGGATATCCAAGATGCCATCTCCTGCTCCATGGCAACTATCCACTGAGAGGCCCAGGGTCCCGAGACCGCCTCAGCGTAAGTGCGAGGGGTCGGGATGTGGAAAGCGTCTGGGTCACCCTCAGGGACTAGAAGCATGGAACATAGATGGGGAGTAGCCTCGGACAGGAAATCAAGCTCGTAGTGGCGGTCCTCCAGGACGTCCCTGCCGAGGGCAGGTGCACCCCCGACAGACGAAGGACAGGCAGGGTCAGAGACCAGAGCGGTGGCGTAGTCAAGGCGGCGCGTAGAGGCGAAGTCAGCGACTGCAGCGACAAGGGCGTCAAGGCTCGAAACCGGAACAGACGGGTCGGTAACGAGAGAGGCAAGGACACGAGGAACAAGAGGACGGGCGGCACGCACGTAGTTAGACAAAGGGGGGGGAGCAACGACAACGGAGGACGGAGGGGGCGGCGGGAGAAGGGGAGGACGAGACGCGTGGGAACGAAGCAACATAGGGTGAGAGCGCGAGACAGGGGAGACAGGTCAAGCACGGGAGGGACGGCGAGACCAGACGTGAGACGGAGGAGTCGGGTCAGGAGACAGAGGAGGGGACACAAGAGGGGAACGAGGGGGGAAACGGGCCAAAGACGAGTCCGGAGGAGGGAACACAGGGCCGCAGACAGGAGGAGGAGGAGGCACAGGCACGGGATCAGGGGACGGAAGGCCGAGCAGGCGAAGAGCGGACACCGGCGGGGACTGCTGCGGCGGCAGTGTGACACCGACACCGGGACCGCAAGCTGCTTGGCGGCTACCTCCAGAACACTCCACGCCAGCACCCCCAGAAGGAACACCCCCAGAGCTCAGAACCCCTCGAGCACCGGTACCACCCCCAGGCCCGCTGGGACAAGCCACGACAGGAGTCCTAGGACTAGTACCCACCCCAAATCCAGCACCCCCTGAGGCAACGAACTACTGCGGCGACGGCTGCGGCGGCTGGGGCTGCAACGACGGCTGCGGCGGCGGCAGCGGCGGCGGTGACGATGGCAGCGGTGGCAACGGCGACTGCGGAGGCGGCGGCGGAGGAGATACTTGAGAAGGGGCAGGCGGCGAGGACTGTGCCGCAGGACCACCAGAGTCAGCAGACTCCTCAACCGGGACAACTGACGTAAGTGGGGTGACGTGGGACACACCAGAGGAGGCAGAACGGGGAGGGGGAGGAGGAGGGGCGGCGACGACCGGGGAAGGGGTGACTAGGAAGAGGGGGGGGTAACCGGAGGACCTCAGTGGGGGAAGTGGCGGAAGAAGGAGACGGACTCGTCAAATGTGACATCACGGGGGTGAAAGAACCGGTGAGACGGCGGGTGGTAGAAGTGCCAGTAAGACGCGTCAAGGGGGAAGCCGAGGAAGACACAGGGAAGGGTGCGGACAATGAGCTTGTCCATGCTAGAGGCACGAACGTGAGCAAGGCAGCCCCAAACGTGGAACGCCGACGCGTCACCTGGTGACCCAGAACAGAGGAGGGTCACCGAAATCTGAGGCTGCTGGGGGTGCGGCCATAGGTTAAGCTGGTGAGCGGCGTAGCGAACGGCAAACGTCCACAGAAAATGGGGTGCCCCGGCATGGATTGTGGAGGTGCGAGCCACCTCCATGACCAAACCGATGCGTCGCTCAGCGACCCCATTCTGCTGCGGGGAGTCTGGCAAGGTGAACGTCTGGGTGATGCCCTCCGCACGACAGAAACGACCAAGGACACCAGAGGCGAACTCGCCACCACGGTCGGAGTGGAGACGCAAGACAGGGAGACCGCGGTGAACACGCGCAGAGACAAGCCACGGGATAAGAACGGCAGACACGTCGGCCTTCCGCTCCAGGGGGAACACAGTGGTGTAGCGCGTGTAGTCGTCGACAAGCACTAGGAAGTAGTGCTCTCAACGCGGTCTATGGACGGGGGCGAGGCCCCAGACGTCCATGTGCAGAGTTTGTAGCGGTGCTGCAGTAGGGGGAAACGAGGAGGAGTAAGGGGCACGGCGGAGCCGGCCCTCGACACAGGGCGTGCAAGGTGGGGCTGGGGAGGAGGGAAACTCGGGGAACGACCCGGGGAGGCCTAGGACGAGACCGTGCTGTGACATGTGACGCAGACGTGGGAGCGCGGGGTGACCTAGGCGGTGGTGCCAGAGAAGAGTCGGGTGAGTGAGAGACCGACAGGAGCAGGCAGCAGCAACCGGGGGAGACAGAGTCACTTGAGGGGGGGTCCCAGCCGGGGGGGTCACCGTGTCCAGTGTGAAAAGACCGGACACTGGGTCCCGTGGGAACGTGGACAGGGGGGCACCAGTGGCGGCCGCGGTATAGACAGCGCACCGCTCGTGACCAGGGAACGTAGTGGTGACGCCAAGGTCGTGAAGGCAGCCGACACCAACTAGGTTCCTAGAGAACGAGGGGATGTGCAGTCCTGTGAGCGAGCCTGAAGGAATCGCCGGGCGGAGGAGAGTGGTGGAACTGCGGGCAACTACTGGGCCGGAGGAGGAGTCAGAAAGAGAGACTGCGTCAGGGACAAGAAGCAGTGTCAACGTGGTGGAGTCGCGGAAGAAGCACCGGGAAGCATCAGAGTCGAGGGTGAAGGAGAGCGCGGTAGTGGCGGCCGGAGGCGAAGCAGCGACGGAAGCACCAAGGCTAAACAAAGCAGTGGATCCTACGCCTGACGCAGCAGGGGAGTCTAAGCAAGGCACACCTACACTAGGCAACAAGGGGTAATAAGATGGAAGCACACTAGAGTCATCATCATACATCACATGCAGAGCAGTAACAATCTCATCCATATCCTGATCAAAAATCTGAACCCTACGACGAGGCAAACTTTGTCAGTCTGGGAGCTCGGGCGGCGGGCCGAAGCGCTGACGAAACACGTGACGGAGGTGTGACTGATCTTACCGCAAGCGAAGCCACGGCGAGGACCGGTCTGGAGAAGGTACTGACAGCGCGCGTTACCCAAACCACCACCCGGTAGCCCACCACGCGCACCACCACCACGTCCAGCGCTACCACCTACGCCAGGCCACCTGGGCGGGAGACCACTCGCCCGTCTCTGCTGCGGCTGCGACTGCTGCTGCTGCTGCGACTGCTGCGGCTGCTGCGGCTGACGCGAGTCCAGCTGCAACGCTGGCGGCTGCTGTGACGGCTGCTCGGCAGCACCACCACCAAGAGACCTTGCTCCAGCACGACCTGCACCTGCACCCCCACCCCCGCCACCACG